CTTTTACAGAATATTTACATTTTTCCAGGGCTAAAAATGTAGAATCAACAAATATTAACCAAATTTACATAGGTTTGAATTGTACAAAAACTTCTTACTTCAGTCTGACAGGCACCTGTAGAGAAATAATACAGCTTTTTTTTTTTTTTTACTTTGCTTTGTTTATTTTTTAAGACTGTAGGCAGCTTTACATCCCTAAAGGTGCAATTAGACCGTGTGCATTATCCGTAGTAATTTCTGCAAGGAAAACGGAGAGTTCACCACTCTGCACTTCAGATGCAGTGCTCCAACTTCAGACCGCATCATCAAATAAGAGGAGCTTCAGTACTCCACCCATGTGTAAAAACTAAAAATAGACTGAGTGGTTAGAGCTACCTTAATGCAGGTTTGTCCAGTTAAAATGATTTGTAAAAATGAAAACAGATAAAATAAAAATTATGTGCTTTTTGTTTTTCTTAGCTCATCCATAGGTCTGCTATCCCCCCCATTAAGCTTTTAATTTAATAAAAATTATCTAGCCCACTTTTTCAGTAGTACTTCATGTGCGCAGGTAAAACTATTGTTTGTGCTGATTTGCTTTTTAAGTTAGAATTTTTTTTTTTTTTTTTTTGGCCGATGACATCCCCATCCCAGCAGACACTAGGGCTGCGCTGGTTTCAGAATATTAAGTTATTGGATAACATCATTCCTGTGCTGGCAATGAATATAACAGTGGGAATGTTTACCTTATTTAGTGGCTGGAATGATTGTTTCACAATTTTTATTAGTTTATTCGCCTCCCAGATTCTTCAGTTTGGAGCTGCCATTACCCTTTGTAACCCCTTAGCATTTCAATTTCCTGTCAGAATTTCACAATAAAAGTACAGGGGACAGTTAACATTACAGACTGCTGCTTGTTGTTCTCTATTAATAACTTTAGAATCAGATTGGGAGTACCATGAATTTTTGGAAAGAGCCCAGGAGCACTGAAATGATAAAAAAAAAAGAAAGAGTCCACTTTGGTTCATCCAGAGCTGAGTCTGGATGACAGTCCAATTCGGCGGGACTTGTTTGTAAATCCAGTCATGCCGAAAGCACTGATGCTGGGCAGTGGGCAGTGACAGAACAGGGTCTGTGCTGGAGGTAAGGTAAGGCAGGATGATGAACAGTCCTTCTAGGGCTAAATTAAAACCGTTTATTTTTTAAGCCACCTACAAGCCACTTCAGAGCATTCCTTAATGTATTCTTTGTCAACATTATTTTCTCTGTATCCCATTTTAAATAAAAAAAAAACTTAACTACAACCAGTCCCTGATTAGTTCAACTTCAGCGTCACCGCTCTGCTCTCCAAGCGATCCGCCGTTTGTCAATACCTCAGTTTTATCAAGCAGCAAGAGGTTAGAACAGAGCAGTGAACCCTTTCAGCACGTGGGATTCACCAATGGCTGCTTCACCACCCTTCCCGGTGTAGTTTGGATAAAGATACAGTGGAATCTGCTTATAGTGGTCACGGATATAGTAATCAACCGCTTTTAAAGATCAAAAGGCTTGGGACAGAATTATTTCTAATTCTAATTCTGTTTAAATAATTTGTTTATAGTAATCAAGAAATCCACTTATAGTGTTCATTTTTGACCATTTTATTAATGTAAACATGCACAAAAATTAATTTAGAATTACGTGTACATCTCATCTTTCACCCAAGGATTCGTGAACGGCAGCCAAATGATTAAACAAATGCAACTATCTTTTTTTTAAAGGTAAATAAAGTGGGCCCACATGGAAATCCAAGCTGTAACATTAATGAGGCCTCAAACACCATGGGAGCGATCAAAGCAGCAGAAGTGCATCCAAAACCGGCATACTGCTGTGAATTCACCTACAGGAGGATTTTGCTGTGCAGAACTTGTTTACAAAAATCTAATCATCATCAGAAGATTTAACCATTTAGTTAAATCAAGCGGCTAAACTCTGAATTTAAAACTGAGGTGTTTGTTAAATCCCTACAAACATGCATCTCACACAACCAAAGAAAATTGGCTCACAGCAGTTTAATGTGTCTGGTGTAAATTTTCTCCCATCAGTGAAAGATCAGAGACTGCCATCTCTTTTGTCACTCATTTGGTTTTCCAACATAACAGAACTAAAACTACATACTTATAGGGGACAGCTAAATGATGGAGTTTAATATCAGAGGTAAACAAACAAACAGCTGCAAAGACAGCTCCTCTATTAAACTTTCTTCACAAACAAAACTAGCACCACATCTAGCACAGTTTTCCTTATTATACAAGTATACCTGCTTGTTTTTTTTCTTTTCTTTTTTTTTTTTCTAAACGGTTGCACAAAAATAAATCCCTCCTTGTATTTAATTAAAACTCATCTACATCGACTGTGTCTCTGCTACGTCTTAACCTTAAAGGTATGGTGGTATAAGTGGTCCTCCTAATTGTCAATCATTCTGGTGAGTCTGACATAGTGGAAAAATTGCAAATCTTCTTTTGGAAACTAAGCTTATATTAGCGACGCAAACAACATTTAAACAGAGCGTTGACGAGGAGAAATGGGATTGTGCGCACCCTCGCACCCGTTTTATAGGCTTCCCCTCTCGGGAGCGGGTACGGGTTGTGCATGTTCTTTTTTTTTTTTAAGTGGAAAGGGCGGGCCTTTTCAAACATTTATGAAAATCCTCCCCTACACCTTTAAGTTTGATAATATAGGATTGATTAATGTAGGTCTGGGTCAGTTAAAATACTTGATACAAAGAGTTCATCTTTAGTTTTGAACATTTTTCGTGTTTTTTAAACACGTGTTTTGAAAAATTTTACCTTGACAATTCTGATATCCCTCTCTCTCCTACGACAGGATCGAAGCACTACCAAATGTTCTTAATTAATTGATGTTATCTAAAGGCTTTAAGAGCAGCAAGCGGAAACTTTGCTGAAAAGTTGGCAACAGTGCAGAAAACACTGAATTGTTTAGGACTAATTTTGTGAAAGAAGTTTTACTAAGCTCTACAGATCAGCAGACTCAAACAGGATTCAGGGAAACAAAAAGACCACAGACTGCTTCCACCATCTAACTGTTATTTACTTAGCAAGGTGAAGTAAATCTGAAAAGGGAAATCCATATGGAGAAAAGCCAATTAAGTAAAACTTACAGTGAAATCATTTATTACCCAAGCCGACAATGTGCTGCATTATTGCTCATAAACGGCCATCGAAAAATGACATGTTAATGAAGGGAAACAGATAGCTGGCAACAACTCAGGCTTCTGCTGTGACTTGACCCTTTCAAAGCAATTATCCCTGCAATTAAAATTCTAGAAGGAATCCACGTTCTGATTCTGCTCCGTAAACACATCAAATATGATAAGCTTTATTAAAGCAGGTCTGAGAGTTAAATAACTAAAAAATCTGGAGGACTAAATGATTCAGATCTATCTGAATGGATCTATTCAGGAATAACAGACTGAACTCATATGATGCGGTGTGTCTGCTTGCTGTTCACCTGAGGCTACAACTATAGATCCAGATAAACCAGATGTTAGATTGAACCTTTTGTTTTACTGATCATTTCGGCTGTGTTCTACAGATCTTCTCAATTTAATCCAATTAGTTGGGTTTAGTAAATCTATTAAAGCCTATTAAATACACATTTTTGTCCAGTTTTTGATCCCAGAAATAAGTTATTTTTAAGGATATTAGAACAAAAGAAAAGTTTCCAGTTTTTAACAGTTGGAGAATGTTCACCTGCATTGCAGAAAGGATCACACATTTGCCACCTCTTAAAACAAGATTTTTTTACACAAACATGTTTGAAAAAAAATAGTCAGGGCTACTTGAACTTCAGCCTACTTAAAATCCTCACACTTAGAGGATTATTAGATTACAGCAAATGTCCATGCGAAGAAATTTGTATTGCTTAGAATAAACAGAAAAAAAATTCATAAAAAGAAACAGATCTCAGAACAATATGTAGCACAGATTACGCAGTGGGGGCCACCCACTCGACTCGGGTAAGAGATGCACATTTTTCTCATTCCATTCTCCAACACGTTAACATCTGTCCCAGGTCGAAGCTCTGTTGAGCGCAGTTAGTCACGCCTACAGCAAGCCACTTGAGAATCCGTGTCTGCAGGCTACATCTTTCCTTACAAGCCCTGGCTTCTCCCTCCCTGCAGGACACAGAGCTGCAGGCAGAGGTGCAACACGCAGCTTCCAGCCTCTCCTCATTTATCACCTCCTCAGGAATAAAAAAAAAAAGGGCAGACTTTCACTTCTTACGTTCCTAAGCTATATATGTGTTCCTGAACAGCTAAAACAGTGGAAACCTAAACGCAATATCGGATTATTTAAACATCAGATCAGAGGAAGAGGATAATTTTGTAATTTTTTATGTATCTAAGGATTTATTTTCTGCAAAGTAATACAGCTTTGCAACTTTTAAGGGCAGATTAGACTTCGGCAACCGCACACATCCAATATTTCTTGGTTCTGGTCGCGAACCAGTTTTGCTGGTATGCTTCTGCACCGTGGGTCTGGAATTTCTAGGGTAGCACAGCAGTTTCCCGCCAAAGCACAAGGGGGAGACTATTCGAGAACTCGCGAGAACTTCGGCGCATGGTCGCGAGAACTTCGCCGGCGCCTGCTGGAGTGTTTATCTTCCAAAACAACAACGAACAAACAAAAAACATTGATATTGAAAACAGCCCTCCACCACTGATCAACAGCTGGAAGCCAACTGGCTATATGAGTAATTGGCTCAACTAAATCGGTTAATAATACTGTCATATGCCTGGATTGACTGAGACATCACACCAACAAATATCCCACGGAGAAAAGAAATGTGATTTTATGTGACAGTCAAGCTCCTCCCAACAGACGACATGCATGCAATCCAAGAAAAATGTGACTCAGTGTTTTTGCATCTTAAGGCCACCAGAAGTGAACTCAATTGAGCTTTAAAACAGAATAAGAGAGCCTTCATTGTGCTTTAATGGCAGCACTGTTCATACTCACCATTTCTTTGTGCATTCCACCATCAGCTCCTGATATGAAGCCACAAACTGGAACTTAGAGGCATGCTTCCCCACCCGCTGCAGTCTCTTCCACACTGAGGCCATGTTCCTCTAGGAGCTGGTAGTTTTTCTATGGTTATCCAGCCTTGGATTTAATCCTTATTATGGGGAGGGGGGGGGGGGGTTCTTTAAAAAGAAATCAAGCTGATCTTTATGACAGCCAAAGCTGGATTGACATATTGAAGAAAGAAGAGTTAAGATCCAGCGGGGAAGATTTATTTGCAAACTGCTGAATGAATCCCAGTGTTAAGACATGTTGTCTCTGTAGAACTCCAGCACTGATTTAAAACTTGGGAGATTTCTGAGAGGGAAAGTGCTCCATAAAACCAAACTGCATGATGAATAATCCATCAGGTATGAATAGCCCCATCAGATGATCTTCCTACAACAAAAAGAAAGGGAATATTCAGTCATCAAATCTAAAATAAGGCTTTAAAGCTGAGGGTTTGTAGTGTAATCTGGATTATTTCTACATCTATAAGAAAGCCATTATATTCTTGTTACAATACAGGTGCTGGTCATAAAATTAGAATATCATGAAAAAGTAGATTGATTTCAGTAATTCCATTTAAAAAGTGAAACTTGTATATTATATTCATACATTACATACAAACTCATATATTTCAGATGTTTATTTTGTTTAATTTTGATGATTACAAATGACAACAAATGAAAATCTCAAATTCATCATATCAGAAAATTAGAATATTGTGAAAAGGTTCAAAATTGATGGCCCCTGGTGCCACACTCTAATCAGCTAATTAACTCAAACCACCTGCAAAAGCCTTTAAATGGTCTTTCAGTCTAGTTCTATAGGCTACACAATCATGGGGAAGACTGCTGACTTGACAGTTGTCCAAAAGACGACCATCGACACCTTGCACAAGGAGGGCAAGACACAAAAGGTCATCGCTAAAGAGGCTGGCTGTTCACAGAGCTCAGTGTCCAAGCACATTAATAGAGAGGCGAAGGGAAGGAAAAGATGTGGTCGAAAAAAGTGTACAAGCAAGAGAGATAACCGCACCCTGGAGAGGATTGTGAAACAAAACCCCTTCAAAAATGTGGGGGAGATTCACAAAGAGTGGACTGCAGCTGGAGTGAGTGCTTCAAGAACCACCACACACAGACGTATGAAAGACATGGGTTTCTGCTGTCGCATTCCTTGTGTCAAGCCACTCTTGAACCACAGACAGCGTCAGAAGCGTCTTGCCTGGGCTAAAGAGAAACAGGACTGGACTGCTGGTGAGTGGTCCAAAGTCATGTTCTCTGATGAAAGTAAATTTTGCATTTCCTTTGGAAATCAAGGTCCCAGAGTCTGGAGGAAAAGAAGAGAGGCACTTCATCCACGTTGCTTGAAGTCCAGTGTAAAGTTTCCACAGTCAGTGATGGTTTGGGGTGCCATGTCATCTGCTGGTGTTGGTCCATTGTGTTTTCTGAGGTCCAGGGTCAACGCAGCCACATACCAGGAAGTTTTAGAGCACTTCATGCTTCCTGCAGCTGACCAACTTTTTGGAGATGCAGATTTCATTTTCCAACAGGACTTGGCACCTGCACACAGTGCCAAAGCTACCAGTACCTGGTTGAAGGACCATGGTATCCCTGTTCTTAATTGGCCAGCAAACTCTCCTGACCTTAACCCCATAGAAAATCTATGGGGTATTGTGAAGAAGAAGATGCAATACACCAGACCCAACAATTCAGAAGAGCTAAAAGCCACTATTAGAGCAACCTGGGCTATCATAACACCTGAGCAGTGCCACAGACTGATCGACTCCATGCCACGCCGCATTGCTGCAGTAATACAGGCCAAAGGAGGCCCAACTAAATACTGAGTGCTGTACATGCTCATACTTTTCATGTTCATACTTTTCAGTTGGCCAACATTTCTATAAATCCTTTGTTTTTATTGGTCTTCAGTAATATTCTAATTTTCTGATATGATGAATTTGAGATTTTCATTTGTTGTCATTTGTAATCATCAAAATTAAACAAAATAAACATCTGAAATATATGAGTTTGTATGTAATGTATGAATATAATATACAAGTTTCACTTTTTAAATGGAATTACTGAAATCAATCTACTTTTTCATGATATTCTAATTTTATGACCAGCACCTGTAAACTAATTTATCGACATTTCTTGTGTAAGAACGTGACGTTAGATCTCCTGCTGAGGGGCATTGAACCCAACTTTGAATGCTAAAATATGTATTTATGTGCAATCCCAATAATAGAGACGCAATGAGATCACTGTAAAACCACTCCAATTATCAATCCAGTGAGCGCCTCTACCCGAAAACTGGGATTCCTGTAAAGCTTTGTGGAAACACATCATTTTTAATGGAATGTTTATGAATCCAGGGAATAGTCTGAGCCGCTGCATTCCGCTAAGCAGGACCATTTGAGGCACTCAGAAAACACTCACCTTGCAATGATATCCGAAGCCTTTATTTCTCCCATGTAAAGCCAGGCTTAACGGCAGCGATGGAGGCTGTCTGCTACAAACCAGCAGCCCAAGCACAACAGCCGTCGCTAATTATCTTAACGGCAACACAAGCCATAGTTTTAGCTAGCCGCGCTAGCAGCGACGGCTAGCCATCACAACACGGCACGAGCTTTTTTTTCCTCCTAACGGTTGAGACGTTTTTACTCCGCCGGGGGTCAGCTCCGTGTCTCAGGGCGGGGGGAGAAAAGACATTTGTCCGCGTATATTCCGCAGCTGAGCTGTGAGAAAGTATTCCGTTTCCTTAGAGGGGTTTCCACCGATAACTAGTGCCCAACACTTCCAGATAGTTTGACTGACCTGCTTCCCTGGCAGCTGGTAAAGATGGAATTTCGCGCAGCAGCTGATTAGATGGTTTTCAAAAATAAAATCACTTCCGGAAATGTTATAAATAAACACATTTATAATAACAAGACAAACTTTTAATATACATATATTATATTGTATCATTTACTATTAGGAAAGGATTTAAATTCATACTTCTTTTTTTTTGTTTCAGTAACTTCAGAACTAAAAGTGTATTTTATTTTTAAAGAGACTTCCAACTACTTCCGGTGGAATTTTCTTCCCAAATGGCTTGACTGCCATCTCTATGAATTTGCTGCCACATTATTCCATCTATTAAAGAATGATGATTTTGTTCATTAAAGGGAAGAAATAAAAACACTATATAAGTTAACCTCTTGTGACAAAGTAATCCCACCCTAAATGTGATAATATATTGTGTTACTATTGGCACTACTATTAAGGAATGTTTGAAAAAAGCCCTTTCTTTTCATCACTTTAAATTAATTTTGACCTACCCCTCTATGCAGTAGGATACTATTTTGATTTATGCCATACAGAAAGTATTTCTTAGAGACTAAGAGACTTAGAGTTTATTTTGTCATTTTGTACACACGTGTAAACAAAAAGAAATTTCGTTAAGTACAGCTCTCTAGACTATTTAATTTTTTTAAGTGCAGATAGGCAGCAGTTATAAAAACATTATGATAAAAAAGTGATGTAAAAATGTGACTGTATAGTTACAGTTCCAACATTTCTGTTTTTTTGTTTTGTTTTGAGATTTTGACCAGGTCTCACTAGAACAGGGGTCTTCAATGTTTTCCAGGCCAAGGACCCCCAAACTGATGGCGAGATGGAGCAGGGACCCGCTAAAAATATATTTATTGTATAAAATTGTGTTCTATCAAACTGGTCCTATAGTCACTCTATTACATATAGAGTAATGCAACGAAAGTAATTTCACCCTGGGATTATTAAAGTATTTCTGATTGTGATTCCTGGTTGATGGGACAGGTGTTGTGAATGAAACGGTGCCCAGCTTGAAAGAGCTCCTGTGTCGCTTAATGTGTGCATTGAAGACAGAAAGACATCTTCTGCTTCCATTTATCTGTTTACTACAGTCGGTTGAATTCTTGTTAATGTGGAGTTAAAGACATTTCAATTAGTGCAAAAAATTGCAGGGGTGGAATATAAAAAAAGCCTAATCAACCAAAACTTTCATGACCCCCATGCAGTACCTCCATAGAACCCCTAGGGGTAGCGGACCCCCTGTTGAATACCTTCGCTCTAGAACCTACTCTATATGTATCTAATCTGCATAAAACCATACTGAGTAAAACATTTTTAAAAAGCCACGGTTAAGGCTTGATTCTGTTCAGTTTATTTATTTAGCATAAATTCACAACACATATCATCTCAAGGTAGTTCTGTGACAATTCAGTCAGATCGTACAGTCAGATTGGTCAAACGTTTCTAAGGATAGACATGCATGGAGTGACTAACTTTGTAGGACATGCTACTCCCAGATGAGCATTTGGCCACAGCAGATATTTGCTTGCACTTTGTTGATGACACCGAGCATGCATGCAGGGAGAGTGGAGGGGAAAAACTGCCTTTTAAGAAGAAGGAACCGACTGGGAGTTCATGGAGAGAGAAGCAGACATACAAAACACACAGAAGCACTTATTTCCAAATGTTAGAGAAGGTGATGGTAATATAGCTCCATAGGTTTATCTGTCTAGGAAAGATACAGTTAATTGTGCAATTACTAATGTGTAGTTAATATCTTATATATATATATATATATATATATATATATATATATATATATATATATATATATATATATATATATATATATATATATATATATATATATATATATATATATAAAGTGAATTTCTCGACTGTGAGATCAATAAAGTCTATCTTATCTTATCTTATTCAGACGAGCTCTGAGCAAGTTTTCATGTGTTGAAGGGTTGAAAGAGAGCACATAAAATTAGTCACATAATGAGTATGCTATGTTAAGGAGAGAAACAGGATTAACCACAAAAAAAGCCAAAAAAAGGCAATAATGATTTATAAATTTTATAAAAAGTTGATGATGGCTGCAGCCCCAGCTGATATTTCTTTCCAGTTACTTGCATGGATGAGCGAATACTTTGGGCAGATGTAGATTTGTATTGAAGAGTGCTTTGATGAAAATATCTGTTGGTTTCTATGTGAAACAATTTCTTTTAAGAAGTAATTTGTTTGTGTTAACTATTTACTTAGTGTCTGCAAGGTAAACCATAACATTTAGTTCAGACAGAATACCTGATCTAAGCATAATAAGTGAAGATGAGCCCTCCGTTTCCTGATTCTGTCTCATTAGCGGGTATCAATTTATAATCCTCCATGCTGGAAGGCTTTGTCTGCCACATTGGGAGGAAAGGAAGCACTCTCCATCCATCACAAATCAATACTCCTTCCTGTCTCTCCAAAAACACACACACACACACACACACAGAACTTCCCTCATCCACTCTCAGTAACCACAGCCTTGTAAATGGAGAGAAAAAAAAGCATGATTCATGATAGAGTGCAGGGAAATAAAATATGAGTCAGATTAATTTAATTTCAAAAGATGATGCAGACACAATAACAGGAAGTTGATTCTGTATCTTTTCCTATTTTGCTTGAGGTCATAAGCATCATGTGGGATGTTGGATTTCTGTTTTTCTTCATTATTTTAATGCTGCCTAAATCTCAGACAGCTGGAGATAGGCACCAGCACACCTCACGACCCCGCTTGGGATTAAGCTTGTAAGAAAACGGATGGATGGATGGATGGATGGATGGATGGATGGATGGATGGATGGATGGATGGATGGATGGATGGATGGATGGATGGATGGATGGATGGATGGATGGATGGATGGATGGATGGATGGATGGATGGATGGATGAAATATTCTGTTAAATTTAATGAACAGATATGATTTTTGGTGAATAATAAAATTGAACATCTCAATATTTATCACCGCCATTAAAATGGTCAAATGTTTCCATAGGTTCTAGAGGTGAAGCTTCATGCTAAGAGCTGTTTAAGGCTTTTAGGAAGATGTGGTTAAAAAAGGACTCAGAAGAACTAGAAATCGGCCTAATAGGCATTGATGCTGTGTGTGATAATTTCTTTAGGAACAAACTGTACTATTAATGATGTGTCCTGATTTTGCACTGTATTTTATCTGACAGCTTTTTATTCTCACAGCAAAATTGTGAATTTTAAGATGTATTTTGGATTAGCCTAATATTGAGGTCAGATTAACAGATTAACGCTGATATGCTAGAATGTTTTAATATGATTCCTAGATTTTTAAGAATAGGAAGCATAACCATCATATCTATAAGAAGGTACATGTTGTTGTTTGTGAGCTTTGGGGTGTTTGTGGTATAATTCTCTGGACAAAAAAAGCTGCATTTCAGATCTGCCTTAGTTCACACATGACTTTGCAAACAATTAAGCAGTTTAGGGTCAGGGCGGATTTGACAGCAGGGGGCCTGCTGGTCCTGCTGCTCTGCATTGCCAGTTTACATTTCAGCCTGGGAGATTACAGGGAGACTCCCTCTATGCATCAAGGAATGCTTTGATGTGACAAATGACCCGGTGCTAAATGACGCTTTGTGTGTCTGCCCACATCTCAGCTAAGGTCTAATTTCCAAAGTCAAACCGGGGGCTGGAGGGCCTGCTGATGTGGGTCCTCTAAGGAAATGAAGAAGCATTTATGGGGAAAATAGAAAAGAAGATGAGACAGATAAGCTCAGTAAATGTATTATCTTCAATTTTGAATTTCAAAATCTCTTTATTGGCACGAAAATGAGGCTGTTACGCACTAATGGTGTCATTTCCTTCATTTTCACTGCAACAATTTGCTCCGTGAACATTTTGTTCTATGTCTAAGAAGCTAGAACAATGAAAAACTTGAATCGGAGAGAGCGCGGCGCTCCAAGCACAGTTAATGATTACCGGACTCTCTGTTTTTAAATCAGGTCAGATCTTCTATTTATGAACTAATCTTGTGAAACGTTGGCAGTATTTTTTGGTTTTAGTCAACGTTAAGAGATGCTGCGTCACTGTTTTTACAGTTACATTACAAAGACAAGCCTCTATGTGTTTTAGATGAATTAATGTGATGGACCAACCCAAGGTACTTTGTGATTGTAAAGTGAAAGAAAAAGGATCAATGGCTTCCCACGGTTTGTAGGGAGAAGATACTAAAAAGTGTGGCCTGCATGTTTATTAGCCAATCCAGAATAAAAACCTTTGTAGAAACACGTTTTGTTTTAAGTCTTTTGGGGTATAAATCATTATTTTTTTGTGGAATAGCTTAAGTTAAATCAGATCGTGCTTAAAACGTCTGTGATATAAACGTTTTAACTGTGGTTTATCCAGCAGCACCAGTAGGGTCCAAATCATGACACCGCCATCATCATGCTTCCCTTTGGGAACAGTGCGTTCAGGATGATGTGTAACATTTGTTTTCCTCTATAAAAAGTTGATTTTGGGGAATTATCTGCCCAATCTTTTCACATGTGTGACTTCTTACTTTCCTTTTTGGACACAAGCAGAGCTCTGTGGGGCAAACAAAGCCTTTAATTGGTTTTTCCACATCTTCATTCCTTCATCTCTCTGGTGTCTTTCTTTATCTTCCTATTGCTGCCTCTTAAGTAATGTTCTGAACAAACCTATTTTAGGTTTATCTTAGAGAACAAAACAAAAAGATATTGATTTCAGAACATTATGTCATTTTCCCCAGCGTACACTGATTATTTCACGCTTTTCTATCCTATAAATTTACATGAAATACATTGAAGTTTTTGGTTAGAGGACAAAATGAGACAAAGTCCAACAGGTTGGAATTATTTTGCACAAGACCATATCTTTCTAACTAAACTTTTTGCAAAGAGACTGTTAGTTTCTGGATCATTCAAAGGAATTTATTCTGACACGTATACTCTGATAGTTTGGCAGCTGTGAATGCAAGTAGAAATTCACACC